GTAGTAACAGATAAACTAACGGAATTTTCGTAGATCGATAAATCACCTACCGGTCGAAGATTAGCGGAAAGCGCGCAATGCTCAATCTATGTTTCGGTAGCGAAACTTGCCATTAAAAACGCGGGGGTCAATTTTGACCCCGCCATGGTACTTAAGGGTTAATATTTATTCCGAAGTGTTATTTACGCAAGCACTTGAGAAGTGTACAGAAGGGATCAAGATAAATGGTGAAAATATAAATAACATCCGTTATGCTGACAATACAGTTATTATCGCTGAAAGTGAGACAGACCTGCAGACGTTACTAAACACAATTTGATACAGGAAAACAATTTGGTTTAACAATAAACATAAAGATAACAAAAACCATGGTTATCAGTAAAAAGGGTAAAGTCATTACAAGGATCCAGATAAAAAATGAAAATATTGAGCAAGTGGACCAAATAAAATACTTAGGAGTCTGGATTACGGAAGATCTGTATCCGAAATCAGAAATTCGCTCAAGAATAGAGCAATCAAGAGTAGCCTTTTTGAAGATGAGGAAATTTCTGAGTAACCAAAGACTCAATCTGCAAATCCGATATCGGATGGTAAAATGTTATATCCACTCTATTCTTCTTTATGGTGTCTAAGCCTGGACTGTTAATGTTGACTTAATGAGAAAACTGAAAGCTTTTGAGATGTGGCTTTTTAGGAGAATTTTGAAGATACCATGGACCGATCATATTACCAACAAAATTGTGTTGCACAGAATGGAAGAACAGAGAACTTTTGACCACCATTAAAAGGCGAACGACAGCATATTTGGGGCCCATACTTAGAAATTATGAGTACTAGTTGTTGCAGCTGATTATGAAGAGTAAAATCGAAGAAAATGGTCCTGGTAGACGACAAATATCTTGACTGAAAAACATTTGCAACTGGACCAAGTTAAACACACAAACGCTCTTAAGAAAAGCAGAAGCAATAATGGAAGAAAAAATATATGCCTAAAATTTGAAGAAAATTGTGTAATAGAGGAATGCCCTATTGTTGCTAACATGTTCAATGTTTTTTGTAAATGCTCCAATTGAGGTACGTTCTACAATTTTCAGTCATCAGAATAATACTTTAAGATAACCGCCTTATAATGAAAATAAAATTTTTTTACAATTATATCCTTACACTCCAAATAAGCTGAGTGAATTATTGATAGGAAAATTGAAATCTTCAAAATCGTGTGGATTTGATGAAATACCTTAATGTTTATTAAAAAAAGTAATTCCATTCATACTGTCACCTTTAACATTTTTAATAAATTTGTCTTTTTGCAATGGTATTTATCCGGATTATCTAAAGGTGGGAAAAGTCGTTCGTGTACATAAAAAAGGTGATCCAAAGGATATTAGTAATTATCGCCCAATAACTGTCCCTTCAGTGTTTTCGAAAATATTCGAATACTGTTATCTTAACAGATTAAACTCTTATATTTATTGGAGAACGGTATTATTTGTAAATGTCAGCATGGCTTTCAGGTCGGTAAGTCTACAAACACAGTAGTTCATTCATTTTATGAGACTTTAACTAACTATATTGATGCAGATGAATGCCCTGTCGGGATTTTTTGTGATCTCAGTAGGGCATTTGATTGTGTCCATCATACCTTACTCATTAATAAATTAGAAAATATTGGAATAAAAGATCTCTCTAAAATGGATAGAATCCTACCTATCAGAACGTCGTCAGTATGTCTCCTTAACAGATGTATCCCAGCACTCAAAAATGTTTTAAATCAGATTATATTTACATTCATATGGGTGTTCCGCAAGGTTCTCTAATTGGCCCAATATTATTTCTCATTTACTTAAATAATATTGTCTCAATAAATTCTGCTGTACAGTTTACACTGTATGCAGATGATATTTCAATACTAATATCAGATAAATCACAAATATCTCTTAAAAATAAATGTAACGAACTCTTGTGTGATCTTAGTTATTGGTTTTCCTTAAGTTACTTACATCTTAATGTGGATAACACGCATGTTATTCACTTTCACAATAGACAGAAACATCTGTTAGATATGGAACTATCAATATATTCTACACAAATTGAAAAAGTTCACTGCCTAAAGTTTTTGGGTTTGTATGTTGATGAATGTCTTAATTGGAAAAGGCAATGTGATGATATTATTTCCAAAATAAACTCAGCATGCTACCTACTTCGAAACCTCAAAGATACACTAAGTGAAAAACAGCTAATTATGCTATATTATGCTCAGGTGGAGTCTTGTTTGCGGTATGTCAAATTATTCTGGGGTACGTCTTGTAAACTCAGTGAAGTCTTTCTATCTCAAAAAAGAATAGTCCGTTCTATTGCTGGTATTTCTCGAATAACTAGCTGTAAGAGTTATTTTACTAGATATAAACTTTTAATTGTGTCATGCTTATATATTTTTGAAGTTTGTGTTTTTATTCATTTAAATCTTGATAAATTTAAAACTAATAGTCAAATTCACAATAAAAATACAAGGCAGAATCAAAAATTACATGTGCCTTTTTCTAAAGGAAATATGCATTTTTACTCACCTGCAATAATAGGTCAAAGAATATACAGAGTGGCCCAAAAGTCTGAAAATTTAAGGTACACCTATTTTGGGATACGGAGATTTCATATTTAATATTTGCAATGTTGTCAGATTTGCCGTTTCTCTTATATTATTAGTAACTTTGGTTTTTCAAATTCATCACCCTGTATATTCAGCCATAATTGGAATCTCCTATTCAATACGAGTTCAACCATATATAACACTTATGATTTTATGTAGTTTGGAAGATCTTAAATACATAAAACATAAAGTCTGGCAACGCCTAATTGTCTCAATAAATTTTTGAATACCAACTATTTTTAACTACATTAAAATGTAACAATTGATAGATTACAACATTTTTAACATATTGGTTACTTTATCAAGTGTTCAAAATGTGCTCCATGTGAGTTGACAGTACCCTAATCGATGGTAGAATGCGTCTACCACATTTTTCCATGATTGTCTAGAAATTATTCGAGATTCATCGATATTTCGTTGCCTTAGTTCTGCAAGACTTGCTGGTTTAGTTTTGTAAACTGAATTTTTTAAGTATCCCCAATAAAAATAATCTTTAGGATTGAAATCAGGTGAACGTGGAGGCCATTCAATTCTACCTCGTCTACCAATCCATCGTCCGGGAAATACCTCTTCTAAATAACGCCGAACATTTACACCAAATTTTACCGAATTTACATTACATTACACCGAATTACAAATTGCAAATTACGAATTACGAATTTACTAGATAGACACCGATAAGTTAGATCAAAAAGAGTTATGAGTGACAACAAAACTAGATATAATGCAAAGTTTTGTTAAAGATCCACATACATCCTCACGCAGGGTTGCACAAGTACATGATGTAGGTCGTTCTTCAGTCTTACGTGTATTACATAAGAATATTTTTAAACGATACAAATTTAACTTATTGCAAGAATTAAGTAAAGATGATTTCGATCGTAGATTAGAGTTTACTGAGGTAATGATGGATAAAATGGAAAAGGATAAAAATTTCGTTAACAGAATATGTTTTTTCCGATGAAGCAGCCTTTACACTGTGTGGAAGTGTAAATCGACACAATTTAAGGTACTAAAGTGACGTAAATCCACACTAGATGCTTGAAAACCAAACTCAAAGACCACAAAAATTAAATGTATGGTCAGGTACAGTAGGTACTCAGTTAATTGGGCCATTTTTTATCGAAGGAAATTTAACTTCAGACAGTTACGAAATGTTACTTAGAAATGAAATTGTACCTACACTGATAAACTTGTTTGGTGCCAATTTTAATTAGATATGGACAAGATGGAGCTCCAGCTCATTTTGGGATAAATGCTCGGGTTATTTAGAAGAGATATTTCCAGGACGATGGATTGGTAGACGAGGTAGAATTGAATGGTCTCCACGTTCACCTGATTTCAATCCAAAAGATAATTTTTATTGGAAATACTTGAAAAATTTAGTTTACAAAACTAAACCAGCAACTAATGCAGAACTAATGCAACGAAAAATCGATGAATCTTGAATAAATTCTAGACAATCATGGAAAAATGTGGTAGACGCATTCTATCATCGATTAGGGTACTGTCAACTCACAAATGGAGAACATATTGAACACTTGATAAAGTAACCATTGTGTTAAAAAATGTTGTAATCTATCAATTGTTACGTTTTAATGTAGTTAAAAATAGTTAGTATTAAAAAATTTATTGAGACAATTAGGCGTTGCCAGACTTCTGTTTTATGTATTTAAGACCTTCCAGACTACATAAAATCATCAATAATGAGTGAATATACAGGGTAGTGAATTTTAAAAACCAAAGTTCCAAACCTCCGTATCCCAAAATAGGTGCATCTCAAATTTTATATAGTTATGTCTGGTAATTTACGAGATAATTGGCCGTTTTCAGACTTTTGTGTCACTCTGTATAATAAGTTATTCGAGACAATAAAAAAATGTAAGAATATGAAAGTATTTAAATTACCTTTAAAAGATTTTTTTATTGCAGAATACGTTTTATTCTGTTGACGAATATTTTAGTAGTTGACATTATTTTAAGTACATGCTAGTAATTTTACATTTTCTATTTGTGTTTGTCTTGTAACCTTAGGTTTAGCGTAATTTTAGATGTACATTTATATTTACTAATTTTGTTTTCCAAACTGTGACTGATCCTATACAAATTGTGTTTGTCAAAAAGAAAATAAAGTATTATTATTAATATTATGGAAGATAGAGACGAATTTGCAATGGTTATAACCAATCTTCATTAGTAGAGACGGCACTAGAAGAAGAAGAAGTTTATGTTCGTTATGGAGAAGTTTTACTGTAACATTAATGTGAAGTTAGACTTAATATTAGAATTAGTATAGAAGTTGTATAAATATGTTGTAAAGACAGAAACATTAATTAAGGTTTAACCGACTAACCTGTACAACAGCTATTAACTCAGCACTGACTCCGAGGACCCCCAGAAAACTAACGAAGAAACCTGTAGTTAGCACACCCATTTTGGATGTTTAACCGGTGTGATTTTTCTGAGTATTTATATCTTAAGTTTTATTTTTATTTAATGATGAACACGAGAATATAACACTAAGCCAATAAAGATAAATTACTAAATTATGGAATTATTGTCAACGTTGTTTGATTTTTATATTAAGACTATATCATAAAAAAATAATTATATTAATACAGATATTATTTTTATTTCTAAAATACGTATTTGATTATATTGAACTTAACTATGACCTTCTGGTTCCCTTGACATATAAAAAATATGATTCTTAATTTTATTAAACGATTATTACCTTATTTAATAAGTCAAATAGCTAATGACCGGAATTCAAGGTTCTATCCGGTAAAATACTGTAGAGCATAAAAATATTATACAGTAATACCCCGAACTTACGCAATATGTGGGACCGAGCGATAATCGCGTAGGTCGAATTTGCGTAAATCGGGGTATAATTTAAGGCCATTATTTGCAAAACTCGCTAATCGACAAAAGTTTCGAAAATTATTTTTTTTTGTTAAGTTTATTTCAATTTTAAATGGGAATCGAATGATATATTCAGAATTTCCCAAAATTCGTTCTTTAGCATACAAATGCTGTCGAGAAACTTACAGTTATTTGCAGAACTCTCTCTTTGCTTTGAACGTTTACCTGCAAAACTTTCTGTTTGCTCTACCTCCAATAAAATTGGCCGGTTGGTTCACGTGACGAACACGCTATTACAACAGCTGTGTTGAAGAAACGAATTTTCAGTAGTTTGTAATTATTCAAGCGAATAAATAGTTGTATTTTGGCGAATTATGAACAGTTTTTTTGTTATGGTTTAAGAACATGGTTTCTGTTAACTAGTCCAAGTAAAAGGACGCAAAAAAGTTCTTCAGCCAGAAACACATAAAAAAAGGAATGTAGATGAACTTGTTAGGTAAGTACTTCATATGAAAATTTATAATTTTAGACTTGTGCGACAATCGTTTGATTTTTATGGAGTTTTGCTTTTTTTTCGCGATTTAACGTTGAGTAGGGCTACACACAAAGTTTATTAAAGTAGTTGTATTGTTACAGAACTACACCAAAAGCACTGCCGGCCTTTCCAACTTATGGTCATAATGGACGACCCGGATTGCCATATTATTGTACCACACTCACGATGAAGCAAGTGATAGATTTCCATGCCTACCTTTATCAGTCAAAAGATAAAAGTAAACAGGACCTTCTGATATTAGCTTGTTGTAAGAGACAGAAACCGAAAACAGGAAAATCTAATCATGCTGCAGTGTCGATAAAATACCATGTACGTTTGAGTGAGGGTAAGATGATTAGAGTATGTGCCAAGTCGTTTCTAGGAATCACAAGTTTAAGCAAGGACCGCATATACAGAGTTGTAAGAAATTTTATTAACTGAAGAGCTACCAAGAGAACGTAGAGGTGTCAATAGAGTGGGTCCAAAAAATGATGAAAAAAGTAACTGCATCAAAAAATTTATAGAATCCATAACATGTACAGAATCTCATTACTGTAGAAGCAAGACAAGCGTGAGGGTCTACTTACCATGTGTCTTGAATTTTAAGAAACTTTTCGGCCATTATATCCAGAGAGTGCCTCAGCCTATGCATGTGAAGCTTAGTTATTTTCGAAAGTATGTGAATGTTAACTACAACATCGCTTTTGGAACTCCGCTGACTGACTGTTGCTCCACTTGCTTGAGAACAAAGGAGCAGTTAAAAGTAGCAACTTCTTTAGCTGTTCGGCAAAAGTTAGCCACTGAGCATCATATTCATATCGTAAAAGTAAAGGCTTTTTTCAAACTCCTTAAAAATCCAAAACCCAACACAACTTACTTTTCGTTCGACTGCCAAACAAACTTAGCACTGCCTAGACTGCCTGATCAAGCAGCATATTTCAGCCAGCAAATAAACTGTAATAATTTTACAATTGATACTGGAAATTCTACCGATAAATTAAGACCAACAAATGTGTTTTCTTACGTGTGGACAGATATTGACTCTAGAAAAGATTCTAATACAATAGCGTCAGCTTTGCAACATGCTCTAAAGAATTTTGATTTTGATGTCGGCATAGAAACAGTACGTTTGTTCGCTGATGGTTGTGGCGGACAAAACAAAAATATTGTCTTATTGGCTTCTACAAGAATCGCCGAATCATATGAATCAAATTGAATTAATTTTTCCGATCGTCGGTCATTCCTTTATTCCGCCTGATCGTATTTTCGGTCTTATAGAAAAAGACATTAAAAAAAGTTCTGTTATCGTGGAAATTAGTGACTACGATGACTTAATCAGAAAGCATTCCACTGTACGGAAAATCGGTATCGATTGGGATGTGTTTGATTGGAGGACACAAACAAAACGAGTTATTAAGCTGCCTAGTTCATGGCACTTTGAATTTAATAAGGCACAGCGGTTTATTTTTTACAAAAGAGGCAACAATGTTCTAGTCCAAGGTGAACCCAATTACCGAAATGACGTTAAAAATCCTAAAAGTATGTGGAAGAAAAATTTTTCTTTTTCGTCAATGGGGATCATTGTTACCAAGTTACCGTTGGGAAAAGAGTTAAAGGGGGATAAAGGAACTATTAATAGTCCCCTTTCAAAACACTATGGAGAAAATTGGAGAAGCCTTTCTGAACTCGATTTTTACAATAAACACTTCAATAAACAGATTCTACCTCACCAGAAGAAACCGTTGATAGTTTGGAAAATTGCCAACATGCAGAAAATGACTGTTTTTTGATTTGATTACCTAGATTTTTTTGTGTAAACATTTTCTTTGTATGACTAAAAATGATAAAGTTTTATTTTCATTAATAAATCCCTTATGTTTTTTATTGAAGTAAATACGGTTTGTTAGTAGTTTATATATTTATTTGCAAAACTGGTTGTTTGCAATATACATTATTTTTTTTGTTTAACTCTGTAAACATTTTAGGCTAGAAACTTTTAATTTCTATTGCTAAAAACTCTAAATTAAGCAACATTAATAAAAAATTTACGTTGTGAGCTAAACACTACTCGGTCGTTAATTGTTTTTTTCGATTTCCCAACAAATTACTTTCGAGCAAAGAGCAAGTTTTGCAAATAATGACCTCATTTCTTATATGCATGCATATAATTTATTTTAATTGGGACTCGAAGATAACGAAAAATAGCAATTTACACAAAATTTTTTTATTAAAATCTTAGAACATACATGTTTGGGAAAGTATGAACGAATACTTTTCATATTTTTACATTTAATATTTTTCTGTTACGGTACTGTAATGTGATCTAATTTAATGCTGTATTCTAAAGACCTTTTTAAAATATATTATTTCCTGTTATTTCGTAAAATTGTTACTGGCTATCTCATTTATTATGTTGAAGTACGCAGAATTTGGCTTTCTCCTTTGTATTCTGTGTCACAAAGATTGAAACAAGTGTAAGGTTTCGTATTACTGTAGCAATTAACTTTAAATTATCGCCATTCAAAATCGTCCGACAATAGGGTTGATTTATGACACTTGCATACGAGCTGTTGACCACCCAACGGTCAGAGGGTGGTTTTGCCCTAGTAACGATCTCAAGATTCTCAAGACAGGCACTTCAATACAAGACAGCGAACGACACGGACCTAGTTTGGACGGTTCTCGTGCTTAGCCTCGGCGTCCCGGCGTTGGTACCGCGACCAACTCTTCATTCCTGTTACGAATACATCAATAGAACCAAAGGGTAAGTCTATATTCTTTGTACAAACAACAATAATGAGTAAACCCATTAAATTTCATAATTTATTCAGAATTGATAGTTGCTATTTTCGCTAATTTTATGTACAAACAAATATTGCATTTTTTCTTTATAATTATTTATCCAATATCATTTAACCAGCGATCTCCTAATTTTAATCCAAAACAATACTAATACAAAATTAACAATTCAATTTATTTTTATGTAGAAGGCTTTATGAAATCTAACAAAGTGATATGACGACTTAAGGATTGTTTTTTCTTCCGCAAAGTTTCTTCATAGCAGGCTAATATTTATTTTATCTCTTATTTGGTAAAAGAAATGCGCTCTTCGTTGTGGTCTATATTATCTAAGGTTTTGATTTTCCTTTGAATTAAACTGAGGCCTTTACTCAAGTTTGCAATCGTAATTTGATTTTCATATTGAACTGGATCCAAACACATAAGCTCTTTAAGGTCTGTGAGGGTCTCTGTGAGGTCATCTATTGTCAGCTCCTGATTGTGGGGATTCACCAGTTCTCCAACGTCATCACTATCAACTTTTAAATTTATTTGCCTATTACTTACTTTATCATGCTCTGACATTAATTTCATTTCAGTCTCAGAGATAAAAAAAGGACACAGTTTTTTTCAGACTTTTACTACATCTAACATGTTGAATTGTTTCCGAAAGTCTTTACCAGATAGCTTGTCGTTTTTTCTTACAACTTTATGGAGATGTGCAAATCATCTTCTGGTATAATAAGCATTGAATGTTTTAACGACTCCTTGATAAATCGGCCAAAGTAAACTAATTGTATCGAGTTGCAAAAATTCAACTTTCACATATGGGTCAGAAATATTATAGTTAAAGTTGCAGAATGATGACCTGGAGCGTTGTCGATAATTAGCACCACTTCAAATAAAATTTGTTTATATGGACAATACCATTCGACTTCAGGTATGAACTGATGACCAAACCGATCCTTAAAAAGGGAAGCTATCACACAAGCTTTACAATCAGATGTGAAAATTACAGGCAAGACTGATTTAGATTTATTTTGTACTGCCCTTGGATTTTCTGAGCAATAAACTAAGAGTGGTTTTAACTTGAAATTACCAGCTACATTTGACCCCACCGTCACTGTCAATTGATCTTTAGCAGCCTTAAAATGATTTGTTTGGTGTAGCCACATTCATCTATTATGGCTTTTAATTTCTGTGGATGACAAGAAAGCCCTGAGATTAGTATTTCCACCAATAGAGAAAAACCCAGT